AAAAAACGAGTTTGGTTTTTTTTTGGAAATTCGCGATTTCAGTTTTTGACAAAAATTGGAATTTTTTCTTTTGGTTTTTTTGCTTTAACTTGGCCAAAAATGGTCCTACACCAAAAATTCATACTGTTTTGAACAGATAACAAAATTAGCTATAAATTTATAAAACTTACCGTGTAATTTTGGAAAAATAAAATTTTCGCCAATTTTTAATTTTTTTATAAGGGGGTACCCCATGATTTTTTGCGAAAAATTAAAAATGAATAAATTGTCAAGGTTTAAATGCCAATCGTTAGGAAATTTAATAACGAGTTCAGAAAGGTATGACAATCCATACTTTGAATCAGTATTTGTTTTGTTATAGCGAAAAAACTGCTTCGTTTTAGCGAAAAAACGAGTTTGGTTTTTTTTTTGAAATTCGCGATTTCAGTTTTTGACAAAAATTGAAATTTTTTCTTTTGGTTTTTTTGCTTTAACTTGGCCAAAAATGGTCCTACACCAAAAATTCATACTGTTTTGAACAGATAACAAAATTAGCTATAAATTTATAAAACTTTCCGTGTAATTTTGGAAAAATAAAATTTTTGCCAGTTTTTAATTTTTTTATAAGGGGGTACCCTTATAACTTGGCCAAAAATGGTCCTACACCAAAAATTCATACTGTTTTGAACAGATAACAAAATTAGCTATAAATTTATAAAACTTACCGTGTAATTTTGGAAAAATAAAATTTTCGCCAATTTTTAATTTTTTTATAAGGGGGTACCCCATGATTTTTTGCGAAAAATTAAAAATGAATAAATTGTCAAGGTTTAAATGCCAATCGTTTGGAAATTTAATAACGAGTTCAGAAAGGTATGACAATCCATACTTTGAATCAGTATTTGCTTTGTTATAGCGAAAAAACTGCTTCGTTTTAGCGAAAAAACGAGTTTGGTTTTTTTTGGAAATTCGCGATTTCAGTTTTTGACAAAAATTGGAATTTTTTCTTTTGGTTTTTTTGCTGTAACTTGGCCAAAAATGGTCCTACACCAAAAATTCATACTGTTTTTAACAGATAACAAAATTAGCTATAAATTTATAAAACTTTCCGTGTAATTTTGGAAAAATAAAATTTTCGTCAATTTTTAATTTTTTTATAAGGGGGTACCCCATGATTTTTTGCGAAAAATTAAAAATGAATAAATTGTCAAGGTTTAAATGCCAATCGTTAGGAAATTTAATAACGAGTTCAGAAAGGTATGACAATCCATACTTTGAATCAGTATTTGTTTTGTTATAGCGAAAAAACTGCTTCGTTTTAGCGAAAAAACGAGTTTGGTTTTTTTTGAAATTCGCGATTTCAGTTTTTGACAAAAATTGGAATTTTTCTTTTGGTTTTTTTGCTTTAACTTGGCCAAAAATGGTCCTACACCAAAAATTCATACTGTTTTGAACAGATAACAAAATTAGCTATAAATTTATAAAACTTTCCGTGTAATTTTGGAAAAATAAAATTTTCGCCAATTTTTAATTTTTTTATAAGGGGGTACCCCATGATTTTTTGCGAAAAATTAAAAATGAATAAATTGTCAAGGTTTAAATGCCAATCGTTTGGAAATTTAATAACGAGTTCAGAAAGGTATGACAATCCATACTTTGAATCAGTATTTGCTTTGTTATAGCGAAAAAACTGCTTCGTTTTAGCGAAAAAACGAGTTTGGTTTTTTTTTTGGAAATTCGCGATTTCAGTTTTTGACAAAAATTGGAATTTTTTCTTTTGGTTTTTTTGCTTTAACTTGGCCAAAAATGGTCCTACACCAAAAATTCATACTGTTTTGAACAAATAACAAAATTAGCTATAAATTTATAAAACTTTCCGTGTAATTTTGGAAAAATAAAATTTTCGCCAATTTTTAATTTTTTATTAAGGGGGTACCCCATGATTTTTTGCGAAAAATTAAAAATGAATAAATTGTCAAGGTTTAAATGCCAATCGTTAGGAAATTTAATAACGAGTTCAGAAAGGTATGACAATCCATACTTTGAATCAGTATTTGCTTTGTTATAGCGAAAAAACTGCTTCGTTTTAGCGAAAAAACGAGTTTGGTTTTTTTTGGAAATTCGCGATTTCAGTTTTTGACAAAAATTGGAATTTTTCTTTTGGTTTTTTTGCTTTAACTTGGCCAAAAATGGTCCTACACCAAAAATTCATACTGTTTTGAACAGATAACAAAATTAGCTATAAATTTATAAAACTTACCGTGTAATTTTGGAAAAATAAAATTTTCGCCAATTTTTAATTTTTTTATAAGGGGGTACCCCATGATTTTTTGCGAAAAATTAAAAATGAATAAATTGTCAAGGTTTAAATGCCAATCGTTAGGAAATTTAATAACGAGTTCAGAAAGGTATGACAATCCATACTTTGAATCAGTATTTGTTTTGTTATAGCGAAAAAACTGCTTCGTTTTAGCGAAAAAACGAGTTTGGTTTTTTTTTTGAAATTCGCGATTTCAGTTTTTGACAAAAATTGAAATTTTTTCTTTTGGTTTTTTTGCTTTAACTTGGCCAAAAATGGTCCTACACCAAAAATTCATACTGTTTTGAACAGATAACAAAATTAGCTATAAATTTATAAAACTTTCCGTGTAATTTTGGAAAAATAAAATTTTTGCCAGTTTTTAATTTTTTTATAAGGGGGTACCCTTATAACTTGGCCAAAAATGGTCCTACACCAAAAATTCATACTGTTTTGAACAGATAACAAAATTAGCTATAAATTTATAAAACTTTCCGTGTAATTTTGGAAAAATAAAATTTTCGCCAATTTTTAATTTTTTTATAAGGGGGTACCCCATGATTTTTTGCGAAAAATTAAAAATGAATAAATTGTCAAGGTTTAAATGCCAATCGTTAGGAAATTTAATAACGAGTTCAGAAAGGTATGACAATCCATACTTTGAATCAGTATTTGCTTTGTTATAGCGAAAAAACTGCTTCGTTTTAGCGAAAAAACGAGTTTGGTTTTTTTTGGAAATTCGCGATTTCAGTTTTTGACAAAAATTGGAATTTTTTCTTTTGGTTTTTTTGCTTTAACTTGGCCAAAAATGGTCCTACACCAAAAATTCATACTGTTTTGAACAGATAACAAAATTAGCTATAAATTTATAAAACTTACCGTGTAATTTTGGAAAAATAAAATTTTCGCCAATTTTTAATTTTTTTATAAGGGGGTACCCCATGATTTTTTGCGAAAAATTAAAAATGAATAAATTGTCAAGGTTTAAATGCCAATCGTTTGGAAATTTAATAACGAGTTCAGAAAGGTATGACAATCCATACTTTGAATCAGTATTTGCTTTGTTATAGCGAAAAAACTGCTTCGTTTCAGCGAAAAAACGAGTTTGGTTTTTTTTTGAAATTCGCGATTTCAGTTTTTGACAAAAATTGGAATTTTTTCTTTTGGTTTTTTTGCTTTAACTTGGCCAAAAATGGTCCTACACCAAAAATTCATACTGTTTTGAACAGATAACAAAATTAGCTATAAATTTTTAAAACTTTCCGTGTAATTTTGGAAAAATAAAATTTTCGCCAATTTTTAATTTTTTTATAAGGGGGTACCCCATGATTTTTTGCGAAAAATTAAAAATGAATAAATTGTCAAGGTTTAAATGCCAATCGTTAGGAAATTTAATAACGAGTTCATACTTTGAATCAGTATTTGCTTTGTTATAGCGAAAAAACTGCTTCGTTTTAGCGAAAAAACGAGTTTGGTTTTTTTTTGGAAATTCGCGATTTCAGTTTTTGACAAAAATTGGAATTTTTTCTTTTGGTTTTTTTGCTTTAACTTGGCCAAAAATGGTCCTACACCAAAAATTCATACTGTTTTGAACAGATAACAAAAATAGCTATAAATTTATAAAACTTTCCGTGTAATTTTGGAAAAATAAAATTTTCGCCAATTTTTAATTTTTTATAAGGGGGTACCCCATGATTTTTTGCGAAAAATTAAAAATTAATAAATTGTCAAGGTTTAAATGCCAATCGTTAGGAAATTTAATAACGAGTTCATACTTTGAATCAGTATTTGCTTTGTTATAGCGAAAAAACTGCTTCGTTTTAGCGAAAAAACGAGTTTGGTTTTTTTTTGGAAATTCGCGATTTCAGTTTTTGACAAAAATTGGAATTTTTTCTTTTGGTTTTTTTGCTTTAACTTGGCCAAAAATGGTCCTACACCAAAAATTCATACTGTTTTGAACAGATAACAAAATTAGCTATAAATTTTTAAAACTTTCCGTGTAATTTTGGAAAAATAAAATTTTCGCCAATTTTTAATTTTTTTATAAGGGGGTACCCCATGATTTTTTGCGTAAAATTAAAAATAAATAAAATGTCGAGGTTTAAATGCCAATCGTTAGGAAATTTAATAACGAGTTCAGAAAGGTATGGCAATCCATACTTTAAATCAGTATTTTTTTTTGTTTTAGCGAAAAAACTACTTTGTTTTACCGAAAAAACCCGTTTTGTTTTACCTACTTACAGGCTCCTGAAATTATGGAATACCCCCTACAAGGTTAGAAGAACTTGCCTATCAGAACGGTATCTTATTGTTTAATTGATCAGCAGGGCTGAAAGGCATTAAAAAAGCTGTAGATAGGAAATTGGCGATTCGAAAAATATTTAAGGTCAACACACTGATTTGGAAGATAGAGCACCAAGCCAACACGATATTATGATATGGATATCAAAAGTGATAATGTTTAATATTTTTTTCTTATAAATAAAATACAAGAAACTACGCATCGGAGTAGAGTCGTATTTGTATTTGGCCTTTTCCTTTAGTTTTTAGTATTTAGCAAATATAATTTAAGAATTGGTTCTTGAAATTCATTTATATAAATTAAGTATAATGGAAGATAGAGCATATATGATGTTATTTCATATAAACACTTTAATGATATAATAGATACTTGTGTAGAGTATCATCAATTTTTTACAACAATATAATAAAAACACCAAAGTTGTAATCACCAGGGATTTTTTATTGAATGCTTGAATTGGTTTTGGATAGGAAACCCTTTAGGAGGTGAGCTGGGAGCAGGTGAGCATGTTCTGGGGGAAGGCGGTGTAGTAGGTGGTCAGGGTGCTGACGGCATCATTCACACAGACGACGGCATTCGGTCCGGTTTGGGGAATCTTCTTGGCCAGGCTGACGACATTCTTCACTTGCTTCTTCAGGGACCAAACTTTGAGGGCGGTCCTCACCACACAGCGCTTGGTGATCGTGGGCTCCTCGCCGTTCACCCCCTCGCAAATGTTCGACTCCATATTGACCACATCGTTGCAGGTGCTGATGATCTTGAGGTTGGCGTTGATCAGATTGGTCACATCCTTGGTGGCAGTGACACCGCAGGTGATCACGTCCCTGTTGAATCCCAACGCACTGGCCTTTATGCCCACCACCCACTTGATGGCGCAATTGAATCCCTTTATGGTGCGCAGGATGGTCTTCAGACCCCTGTAGGTAAACGTGAGCGCATTAAGGTCTTCCACATCCAGCTCGCCATCGAGCAAAAAGTCCAAATCGTTCAGGGCAAGGTCCTGCGAAGAGTCCTCGCTGGGAGGCTGGGGCACCACCAGTGCATTAACCTGGAATTTAATTATTTTTAATTATTAAAATATATTAATAATTATTTTACAAACTTACGCAGACCAGGCAGAGAGCCAAGGCAAAAATGGTAAACTTCATGTTGTCGTTGTTTTTAACCAACTATTGGCAACCTTTTGCAATGTGCGCCTTTTTATATCGTTGGATACCTTAACCCTCTATTTGCTATCTTTCTTTTTACTTTTAAAAATGGCACATCATTATATATATAAATAACTGTGTCCCTTTTCTTTCTTTACAATCTGATTTCGGTAATTATAATTTTTAAAAATTTATCCTTATTTAGGATATTTTTATCTTTAATTTTCTTGTTAGAAATAGGGTTACGAAAAGGGTTAAAACCGATAACAACTTAAGCTAGTCACATTGGCGCCCTGATAACGGACTAAGCCTATTGATCAATTGGACATCGAATTTATCTTTCACATTATAACATTTGAAAACCCACAAAAATAACAAAGACGGCACTCATTAATAGATAAGGATTTGTTCATTAAATAAAGTTTTAAAATCATATTGTTAGGCTGATTTAAAAATGAGAAAAGCTTTACCTTCTCTTAGAAAATAAAATTTTAATTTAAATTGCCGACTTTTTGGCTTAAAAAATAAAAAGTTTAAAAAAGAAATAAAAAAAGAGATTTTTGTAGCACCTCATTATGTTTAAATTAGTAGGTATTAAGTTGGTTTATTTCAAATGATTTAGTGACAGACCACTGATTCGTTTCTAATTTAAGTTTGAAATTGTTTTCACCTTTTTGTATAAGCAGTTAAAATATTCAAATATTTTTAAGCTGTTTTAAAATAATTTTTTTATTTTTACCAACTTATTGCAATCACTGACCATTCGACTCCGAGATTGGGATTCCCCATTATTGACTTTAGTGGCTTCCTTTCTAGGTTTATAGCGTTATCATCGCTGGTCAAATGTAAGGCGATTTGATTTGAGTGCCCTTCCCCTCGATTTCTTTTTGCCACGTGAGAAGGTCTTATCTGATTAACCGTCCGATTAGATGGAGGGTCCGAAATACGAAAAGCGTCCATTATAGAGCACCTTATCGACATGGTTTTTATATACACATAGCCGTAAAGAACTTCAGCTTTCGATTGTTTCCAAGGAAAGTGGATGACATGAGAGCACATAAACACATAAAATATAAAGTTTGTGCGACGGGCTGAATCATCGATGGGAGGCGTTTATTATGATCCCTGATTTGATGAAACCCACTAATGATTCAACTCTATATGACCGGTCAAGGCTTCGGGGAAAAACCGTGACACGAATGCATTTTAAATATTGTGTGAATTAGGGTTAAAAACAAGCTTAGAGAACGATAAGACTTTTATGCTAAGTAATGTCAACAATATTATAACAAAAAATATATATTTTTGTGGGTAATCAGGAAAAACGCCAAGTGACTAAGTTTAGTTTAAAAAAAAAGTGAGCAAGGGATCCTGACAAATGATAAAATGGTATAATAGCATATCAAACCTTTTCCTTATATCCATATACAACTCAAGTAAAAGACTATCCATTTTAGTATTTTTTTTTTAAGATTTACTTTATTGTTTTACTTGTATTATGCATATAGTATTACTTCATCTTTTTCTTATTTCGTTTTTTCCTTGGATTTGTATGTCGCCTCATTGCACTAAAAAATGTTTGTTGCCCTCTCTTTCTACGCCATGTTGGCGCTGCCTATTGCCACCTCGCTCTAACGCACTTAAACGCAAAATTATACAAATATGTAAAAAGAAATAGAACAAACACACGCGTTGGAAAAAAACATAAACAAAAGCGGCTTACAATTATTTGCAAAAAAATATATATTAAATACAAGATACAAAATTATTTACTCTGCTTTCTCACGATCTATTTTGTTTCTGGATCTCCGATTCCCCGATCTTCATTCTTTATCGTTATCTCCCCTTTCAGCTCCAGGCAATGTATTTATGCAAAAATATATCGATTTATGTAAATATATATGTTATGTATATAGGCGCATATCGTAATCGTATATAAATATATATGTATATATATTACAAAGTTAATTGTTTTCATTGTTTTCGTCGCAATATTAATATTCTCTTAATAATTCTCTCTTAATCTTGCACGCTAAACGGCCGCTTGTTTTTTGTTTCTTTCATTTCTTTCCCTTCTCTTGTTTCCTAATTTCATTTTTAAGGATTTAAAGCGGAAGAAGCCAAACCTCTATTTATAAAATAAGGTTACAGTTGTATAATTAAACAATTGTTAAACAAAACTAATAAAGAAACCCCTCGACGGGCTCGGAAAACAGATGCGCGACACTCTAAAATCCGTTTGCTTAATTACAATTGGGGGGGAACTCATATACTCGTACTCAAGTATATAATTGTATAAATATATAATAAAAAAAAATTACAAAAAGTAATCGAAATAAAAAAAAACACACACACAGAAAATGTATTGGTATTGGCGCAGGAAGGAACGCAATCGAATAGTTGTTAGTTTTTAGCGAAAGGGATTTCCTGTTTTCCCCCTTTTTCAAAATTCCATCCTTTTGTTTATATATAATTGAGTTGTGGCCATTTCGCCTAATTGCTGTTGTTGCTGGCGGAGCTGTTGTGGTTGTTCTGGTCCACGCTGTCCATATTGGGCACGTAGTCGAGGGCCATCATGCAGGCGAAGACGGTCATCACCATCTTGGGCTTCACCTCGGTGATGTCCTCGGGCAGGGCGTAGACGCGGGCGCCGATCTTGCGGGCCATGGAGATGGCATACTTGGCATTGGCCAGGTTATCCTGCGGAATATCGTATATTATTATTAACCATTCAATCTAATACAATTGAAAACCCACCTCCTGCGTGCCGCTGGTGCGCACCAGCTCGTAGTTAATGCTGCCCTCCTTGATGGCATCGATCAGATCGATCACGATCTTGCCATCGGCTATGGCCGGGTCATTGAAGTTGCGCAGCTGCGACGTTTTGCCAGCGTCCGTCAGCCGGTTGTTCACCCACTGGACGATCTCCTTCTCGATGATCGGGTTGCCGGTGTTGGCCAGGCGGGAGAGAATGGACAGGGTGTAGGCGCGCATTAGCTGCCAGATGAGAGCTGTTCAAGTAAATAGTATGCTTATTAATATGCTTATTTATTACAATTATTTATTAATTAATTCCTACCCAACGTCAGCGTGGCATTGCCATCGTTAAGATCCTGGCCAGCGATTCCGACCAGCGAGAACTTCAGCTGCTTGCCCAGATCAACCGCGTAGTTGCAGTTCTCCAGCTTCTCCATGAACTTGCGCAGCGGACTGAAGCGCTTGTGCACCCGGCTCCAGTTGACGATGCCCGGCTTGATGACGTCGAAGAGCTGGAAGATGACCAGTCCGTCGGCCAGATCGGAGTACAGCCAGTTGACATGCGGCGCCACGCCCATCGAGTTCATCCAGTTGCGGTAGGCTGGAAATAAATCATATTTAATATTATATATTCATAAGAAAATATTAACAGAATTATTATGAACCAAATCTTTATAAAAGGCTGCACTTCCTAATTATATTTATTTACTTAATATACAAGTTATCATAATCTATGTTTTTGTTAGAAAATATTAATAGAATTATTATGAACAAAATCTTTATAAAGAGTTCTTAAAGTTTCTCAGATTTTACAGCCTGCACTTCCTGCAAATCAGAGCTTACTGATAAAAAAATATCTTTATAATTATAGGAAATGCTTCATTTGGCTTACAAATGCTTGCTGATATCTGCATTTATTTTTAAAAATAAACTCTACTGCCTGGCTTTTCCTGAACTATACTTTTTATTATAAAAATAACTACTCACTCTTCTCCTCGCGCGTCTCCTCAATGGACTCGAGTCCCTCGATCTGCTCGGGCTTGTCCAATCCCGGATGGTTGTTGAACAGATTGGCCACGAAGGCCAGATTGAGTTTGTAGACCCCGTTGACGACATCCTGCGGCGTGAGGAAGCTGCGGCAGTTCAGCTTGGCGGCCTGCTGCAACATGATCTCCGCACGCGACTGCAAATCCGATTCCCGCAATGCATCCAGATTGACGTCCGCATCGTTGCCGGCAATCTGCTTCAGCAGATGCGAATAGATCTCCGAGTCGACGATGTCCGACTGGAAGTTGGTGCACCGCCTCGAGATGCCCGCCCGCTCCAGATGATGGTTGACCCAACGCAGGAGGATGGCCTCCGGCGACATTTTCATCAGATCCTCGAGCCGCTCGTTGTCGAAGAGCAGGCCCGCGAGTCCGGGACAGCTGTCCAGGGTGATGTGGCTGAACAGGCCGATGCGGATGATCTGCCAGAGGAGGCCCAGCACCAGATGCGGCTTGCCCTTGGCCAGATCGTGGGCATCGATGTTCACAATGTTGCAGCCAATCGCCTGCGAGGAAACGAGGGCCAAGGTCAGATTCTCGAACTCCCTGTAGACGGTGAGGTTCTTCTTGTTGATCGCCCGCTCGTCGATGGTGTCCGGGCAGGAGTGATTGATGATCTTGCACAGCAGAATGCCATCCTTGATGCTCAGATACAGCCGCTTGCCCTCGCTGTCGATGGGCAGCAGGTGCTGCAGGTCCTTGTCGTGGCCCAGATTCGAGTTGATCCAGTCGGAGAAGGCCAGCTGCTCCTCGAGCCGCACCGAATGGGTGGTGCCCTCGGACGAGATGCTCGACATGCCGCCCAGGGTCTCCAGGTTCTCCTTCTTCGAGACGACCGTCTTGAAGGTGCTGGCCACATCCTTGCTCTTGAGATCGAGGCACAGAGCCTCGAACTCCTCCAGATTGAGCTTGCCCTGGAAGGCGGTCTGTTTGCCCTTGCCCTTGTACTCATCAATCATCTCGCGCACCTGGTAGCCGGCCAGCTTGAAGCCCACCTGGTTGAGCGCATCCTTCAGCTCGTGCAGGTCGATGAAGCCATCCTTGTTGGCGTCCAACTGGAAGGGGAAGAGGGATTTAGATTAGTATGCTTGCTAAATAAATTTAAGAAATAATGACTATGGCGATAAGTATAATCTTAGGCATTACAAATTGCCAAACAAAAAATAAAAATAAAAACAAATGATAAGTACTGCTTATTCACTCAAGTTTCGGTTA